CACCCAGGGTCCGGCAAGAATTAAGATAATTGGGATGTTGCAGCTGTTCCAACGTAGCCGAGCAAGTCATCGTATCATCGGGCAAACTGATTCAAGCTTTATGATCATCCGCCTTTAGGGTCGGTCATTGTGTCAGTAACTCTATCGCGGTAGTTGCGATGATGTGGGCATCACAAAACCTGTGTTCAATTATACGCAGGTTCCTCGGGTTCCAGAACGCTACACCGTCTTATGGCTTGGGCTACCTCACCTTCACAATGATGTACCAGGTATGAGAATCGGTCTGCCGGATCGAAAGTATATCGGGCAATAGTGGACATGAAACTGCGTATAAAAACATGGTAGTCGGTGGGGTTTCCAACAAATTTTGGCAGCTGTCACGTCCGCTGCATCAAATGAGCGGTTTGAAGAAGCCGAGCATCTTGCCTAGTGTTAGCATTACATAAGTGAATATTTGGAGGGTGGATAACAGTATCTTGCTCAACAGGTGATGGCCATTCTTTGTGTCTGCTATGGAACTTACATAACATTTTACGGCGTTAGCTTGTTCATCTATTACAGGACGGAGAAAAACTTCCGAAATTCCAGGAACCATCCAACGAAAAACTTCATCTAATTTTTCCATTCGTTTGGCAGTCTTCATATTCCTTAATGATTTTAATGCCGTCTGCCTCTACCTCTGGCATGTTAATCACTATAAAGGCACGACCCAGTTCTGTCCAATTCATGCGCAGATCACCGGTGCTAGTGGATGCACGGGAGGGAGAAGGCAGTCGAGACGCGTCTTACTATATAACCAGATGTTAACCTTCAGGCGGTATCTCTAACCAACTGTGTACAATCCTGTGCTAAGACCGTGATCTGAAGGCAGGGAATTGGTTAATTAGCCTAAAAGCACGATCGAGGCTTCCTATCTGACAGGTAACCTGTAGTCCAATTCAACGACGGACGGTCTTAATAATTACAGCGAAACCGAATTGAACAAACTTCATCTGCTTTTGTTCAATAGTCGCAATTGGGCAGCAAACAATATATTGAATTAGACGTGGGCAGACAGTATAGATAGGTAGATTGTGGTTCAATAAGGAATTAACGGCAAATAATGAGCCGAATTAAAGGAAAGCTTACGGTTAGATTGAATCAATGGGCACTTAGCAACACAGGGTGGCACAGAAATGGCAGTGTGCTATCGGACAAATTAAACGGGAAAACTGTTGTGCAGTTCAAAGTGGGACAGTGTTCAACAACAAACCCAGAAATCAATGTGAATAAATCGAGTCATGGAAGTAGTTAATATATATAGAGTCGACTTCGTATAAAATAGAATAGTTCAGTCTTGGAACTTGAGCACTCACCGAAAGGGTAATGAATTAATCTGAGGAATAGGGAGACATAAATAATTACGTCACGTCATTAACACTCCCAAGGGACCAAGGGTGAACTTTGATCATCTCCAATGGTTTGCTCCATAAAACACAATTGTCGAACATCTCTTTTCAGGAGTCTCATCACCGTTCGAAAGTCACGAATTTCTCCGTCCTTTCCTGGCGTGACCGTTGGTTCAACACCCTTCGGCCATGAACCCCTAGATACGGACGTGTCGACTAAGAGAACCAAGTCCCCTACCTTAAGATCACGGCCGGTTCTCATCCACTTATTTATTTGATGCAGCACAGGCAAGTATCCCTTTAACCATCGTGTCCGGAAAGCACCTGCTAATTGTTGCGTCTGGTGCTATCGTCGAGCTAGCTTCATGTCCGATCCAGATGAGTTTTCGACTGACGTGTTACCGCGGAATAATAGGAGATGACTAGGTGTTAGTGTCCCGAGATCGAGAGGGTCATCTGATAACTTCACTAAGAGTAGATCATTAGTGATTTTTTCTACTTCAGTTAGCACCGTTGTGAGGACTTGATCAGTTACCAGCTGATCACCAAGTAGCGATCTCAATATCCTCCATATAGAGCGTATCATTCTCTCCCAGATGCCTACTCTGTGGCTGGCCTTTGGTGGAGTAAAGATACAATCACATCCTCGTTGTAGCAGAGCTTTAGATACTCTCTCCTGGTTCATCTGCTGTAGGCTCTGTTTGAGCTCAGATTCAGTACCGCGAAAATTAGGGCCATTATCACTGTAGGTACGAATTGGGCATCCTCGCCGAGCAGTAAACCTAGAAAAGACGCACAAAAACGAGTCCGTTTCGAGAGGACAGACCGCCTCAACATGCACAGCACGCATTGTCAAGCAAGTAAAGATACAGCCGTAACATTTTCCAACCCCACTACCTCGCTTTACCAATAAAGGTCCGAAGTAATCAACGCCACTCCCTGCGAAGGGTGCTTCATGAGTTAACATTCTATCCTCGGGAATTGGAGCCATAATTTGTACTTCAGGTTGAGAATGCAAACGTTCGTAGTGAGAACAAGAATGTAAGACACCCCGTACAAGCGCTTGAGCTTTGAAAACCCAGATCTTTTCCGCGCAGGGCATTAAGAACCAGGAGAGAGTATCTAAAGCTCTGCTACAACGAGGATGTGATTGTATCTTTACTCCACCAAAGGCCAGCCACAGAGTAGGCATCTGGGAGAGAATGATACGCTCGCTCTGGAGGATATTGAGATCGCTACTTGGTGATCAGCTGGTAACTGATCAAGTCCTCACAACGGTGCTAACTGAAGTAGAAAAAATCACTAATGATCTACTCTTAGTGAAGTTATCAGATGACCCTCTCGATCTCGGGACACTAACACCTAGTCATCTCCTATTATTCCGCGGTAACACGTCAGTCGAAAACTCATCTGGATCGGACATGAAGCTAGCTCGACGATAGCACCAGACGCAACAATTAGCAGGTGCTTTCCGGACACGATGGTTAAAGGGATACTTGCCTGTGCTGCATCAAATAAATAAGTGGATGAGAACCGGCCGTGATCTTAAGGTAGGGGACTTGGTTCTCTTAGTCGACACGTCCGTATCTAGGGGTTCATGGCCGAAGGGTGTTGAACCAACGGTCACGCCAGGAAAGGACGGAGAAATTCGTGACTTTCGAACGGTGATGAGACTCCTGAAAAGAGATGTTCGACAATTGTGTTTTATGGAGCAAACCATTGGAGATGATCAAAGTTCACCCTTGGTCCCTTGGGAGTGTTAATGACGTGACGTAATTATTTATGTCTCCCTATTCCTCAGATTAATTCATTACCCTTTCGGTGAGTGCTCAAGTTCCAAGACTGAACTATTCTATTTTATACGAAGTCGACTCTATATATATTAACTACTTCCATGACTCGATTTATTCACATTGATTTCTGGGTTTGTTGTTGAACACTGTCCCACTTTGAACTGCACAACAGTTTTCCCGTTTAATTTGTCCGATAGCACACTGCCATTTCTGTGCCACCCTGTGTTGCTAAGTGCCCATTGATTCAATCTAACCGTAAGCTTTCCTTTAATTCGGCTCATTATTTGCCGTTAATTCCTTATTGAACCACAATCTACCTATCTATACTGTCTGCCCACGTCTAATTCAATATATTGTTTGCTGCCCAATTGCGACTATTGAACAAAAGCAGATGAAGTTTGTTCAATTCGGTTTCGCTGTAATTATTAAGACCGTCCGTCGTTGAATTGGACTACAGGTTACCTGTCAGATAGGAAGCCTCGATCGTGCTTTTAGGCTAATTAACCAATTCCCTGCCTTCAGATCACGGTCTTAGCACAGGATTGTACACTGGCAGTACAGAAAAGACAGCTGCGGTTGTGCAAATTACGTTTTGCTGTGAGGATAGTAGAAAGAAATCCAAGAAGTTAATGGAATCTGAATTAGATTATATGCGAGTTGATCAGATGTATGAAGCCAAGGCGATGCGGGGTCACAATTAAGTCGTTCTGATCGCATGCTATTGACTTGGAGCTGTGAACGAACCAGACTCGGAGGAATTCTTCATTTTCAACCAACGACATTCGGGAATGCTGAGAAAAACCCTTTCTAATGTAAAAGAAAAAGCTTGCTACATGACAGTTGTTGGTTGGAGGTTAGGAGGAGGTAGACGGAATATTGACACTCCTTGCAACCTATAGTAAGTGTTCACGTAGACAAATGTTCCAATGTAATCCCTATACACAAAAAATCGTGTGGGGTTGCCAGTCTGCTACAACTTTGATGCATGGAATGTCACCGGGAGATTCCTATGCTACAGTTTGGGGAGGAAACCGAAATGAAGGAGCCTAACCCAATCTGAAGCCCTGTCTGCCACAATGGATGAGGCGCTTTACGTTGTTATTGCAAAAATACTTGAGGATACGGAGGTCATTTACCAATAAATATTCTACGGATGACGTAAAACAGAGATGAGATACAAGCTGTTAGTCTTGATCGGTTCTTAGGGCGATAATCGGTGGGGAATTAATTGCTATATACCATATATATACATATATATACATATATATCATATAACTATATTTGGTAGAACAGTAAAGAGCTAACGGTTGCAGGCTATACCATATTATACATATATATACATATATATCATATAACTATATTTGGTAGAACAGTAAAGAGCTAACGGTTGCAGGCAAACAGACAACAAGCCACTTTCGACCATCGTGGTAGGCACCGTATTAAATGAACTAACCATGAATTTTATTGTCTACCCTAGGAGTGGACTACTATAGTTGATTACACATGAGGGGAATGATCAAGAGTAAAGAAAGATTTCACATTCAGGTGGAAAGGGTGGACGGCAACGGTCTAAGAGATAATGAACGTAGACCGCATTAGCGAAGTTTCTTGGCTTTCGGTCTTGTCTCGAAAATCGGGCTGAAATATAATAGTACCTTGTAAGCTTTGGTCAAAAAACAAATAGTCAACAGCATGCCTGGCAGAATGCAATCCAGTCTGTGAAAAGTTGGTTGATAAGACTGTCAAAATGGTAGCATTATTCATTTCTAGCATCTTTCCAGCTGTCAGGCGCAACAGACGTCAAATAGCGTGAGGCTGAATGGCTCGTTCTAACGGCCAGTTTTCAGAAGAATACAAAAGTCTCATGGTTTATGGTGGCCACGTTCAAACAGATCAAGTGAGATTCTACACCATCCACCGACTAAATCCCAAGGAAAAAACGGAACGTAGATCCAAAGCTGACAAGGGAGCAATGAACTTAATTTCAATGACTGACTTTCAAGAAACTATGACTCCTCTTCTGATGACAGAACGTTAGTCAAGTGAATTCAGACCCAGCCAGCTTAAAGCGAATGATAATCCAACGAGCTCAATTATCAGAGAACTCAGATTATTCCTACATGTTCAGTGGAACAGTCAATTTCCAATGCACGAAAAGAGGTGTAACAAAGGCCACATGAACTCTACAAACGGTATTGGGAAAGGGAAATCAGAAACAGCTTGGCCGTCACTATAGCAACCGGGTTAATGAAGCCAGAAAGAGTGGAATCAACTTATGTAGACATCTTGTCCTCACTATGGCAAGCGACTACGCATGGGACTGAGGACGGATCTAACCTTAAACCAATCGATCAATCGATGGGAATGGCCAAAATAACAGGCCGAACTGTGATGCTAGTAGAACGTACTCAGAGGAGTGCGTCGATTGGTCAGATGGACCCTGTACGGAGAAGGTGGAAACTATTCGTGTGAACCTATCACACAGCGCATTTGCTCCCACGTTGAGCAGGTAAATTGTCATAAACTGTGCGCGTGTGTATGCGATTAGTTGTTGGACTACAGATCCTACCTACGCCTGTGATATGGGCTAAAAATAAGAAAACTACAGAGTTAGTTGAGGTTGTTAGCCTCATCTATCTGAAAGTGAGACATAGAATTGCAAACATACACGATCAACGACAGTAAGGTGAATATCACTAAGTAGTGCTGCTTGTGGACCGAGTGCATACCAGTTACTACTAGCACTGCTATCCTTGATCATGGAAACCGCCAGTGAGTGTGAGTCAGTAAAAGCACGAATAAATCCAACGTTACTAAGGTTGACCTAAAGATAGCGGACTTGTGTTGTAAAGGGGAAAAATTGAAAACAAGGCGCGCAGTCCGGTAATTACCGTTACCATTACCACATTACCAACAATGGAGAGAAGCTTATTTTTGTGGAGAGGCTGTCTATTGGAGAAACTGTCTATTCCTGTTCGACAAATCGAAAGTGCGCATTACCGGTGGTTGATCAGGTGGCCACTGAAGTGCTCGCGGACCTGTGTAATTAGCTTGCAAACGTTTCGTTCCTAATCACGGAGACATCGTCCGTGCGCAGTTTAGCATCTATGATGTCTTCCCGACTGGGGATGAAACGTTTGCAAGCTAACTGCCAAGTTCAGAAGCATGTACAAGGGTAGTGTCATAAACAAAAGTATAGTCAACCAATAATTGACGGAAGGGCCTGGCTTGAGTGCTGCCAGGGAACAATCCCATTCGATCATGGTGGCGGGACAGACTGCTGTATTCCCTTCTCATTTCCAATAACTAAAGAGCAGGAGCACTGAATAACTTACCAAATAAACACCGAAAATCACCAGTATTCCAATGCGCACATTAAAGCAAAGCTCGTATGAAGATACTGGAATAACAGACTGGCTGAGAAGCTTAGTTTCACGAATGCGGGTAGCAAAAGACAGTATCAACATGTCTCAGACGACAATCTCTCATAAGTGGCGACGTGCTAAATTCACAATGTTCCAACTAGCATGACGATAATGAGTGTCTTGTGCACAGTTTTCTTTACTGTTCTTAAGAGTGCAGATGTACAGAGCCTACCTGCTATTTAGAAGACTCTGGGTACACAAAAGCTTCACATATAGCTAATAGAAAATTTCTACCTGAACACGCCACCTATAAGAAAAAATCACAGGAAGTAGGACCAGTACCCTAAAACTCACAGAAGATTGTGGGGTGGTGAGCACGTTGTCCGGCGATTCGCACGTTCCAGATAGGCATTCATAACGGTTTGGTTGCCATCAATCGAGACAGAATAGTAGTCTGGCATATGCGATGCCAAATAATATAGAGTGGTGTTCACTTCCTCTCCATTCAGCGTGTTGGGTGCGTACGAATAGCTTAACGTAATGCCTGACAGCCAGAGCTGTGGGAAATAACGGAAGAGTCAACGAATTGTCAACCTTGTAACAACAGATGAATAGCTGGAGAATGTTAACATTTACAAAACCTCAAAGGGGAAGAAAAAATCCGATGAAATTTATCACGTTAGACAAAACTCCACTCAACAAAGTATTGTGACGCTGGTTCCAACATGTGATCTCAGTATCACGACATAAACCTTTTTCTATGAAAGAGCAAAAGCTGATTTACGCTGCGACCAATTAGATGGTCCTACTAAGAGTGTCCTCTTCCGTGATGAACTAAACCAGCTGGAATCGACTGAACTGATAAGATATCGCTTGTTGAAAAAATGACTGCCACCCTGTGCATTATACGGCTGCAACTGAGATACCGGATAGACGACTTCCAAGCTTCACCTAAATGGAAACGGTCATAGTTTGTCCCATAGGATCTCATAGGGAAACCAACCAGGGATAACCGGCCATGGTAACCAGAGTATAACAGTGGAAGTTCGGAGGAAACAAAGATTAGCGTAGGTGATTGTCCAAACTTATGCGCGTACTGAATGGTTCTATTGAGACCAATATCAGCGGCAGAAAATATAAAGTAAATATGGATAAGACGGGACATCGCCGGCGACTGAAGTTGTCACTAGCGAATATACACTCATTTGCAAACTACTTTGTCTTTTTCGAAAGACTTGCCTGGAACCCAGCTGAATCTCTCGTTTGTGATGTTCTCGGGTTTCAAGTAGAAGACAAGGTTGATGGAAACCCGGGGACTGCGCTTACCTGATGAGGCCCAAAAAGGGCGAAACCGGTCGTGGGCTGTCGATGAATTTTCAGCAACCTTATGAGTATTACATTATGAAGTTGCCACTACTTTACCCATATACCTCCACATACAGTGTACATAAACAAAAAATCCATACAATTGCACAAAATGTTTAGTTTGCACTGCTCAATCAAGGTTTGTGGCAGGAAAACCGGAAGCCTGGCTCCGCATCGAAATAGTGAAACAGACGTGTTTTCCGGTTTCGTCCGAGAGATTTTTCTCCCCGAAAATTTCTTCCGAAACTGGTCAGTGAACAGAGATGAAGGGTGAGTTCTTCAGGGTCCTTTGATTCAATAAAACTCCAACCGATCACTCAAAAATGATTAATTTTCAAAAGAGGGAACGAATATATACAGAATTTTATTATGACACCAATTTGATGTTTGCCGCTTCTGATATCACAGGCTTCTTTGTGGCCAACATCCAAACATCTACACCAGTGAATAACTAAGACTGGTTTGTGCATGCGCCAGGAACGACTCTAGCTATCAGGAAACTGATGCAGCAGCCGTACTATTGCAGTAGCGGTTATATTAATCGGTTGTGCTACGGTTCCATTCCCAACGCACGCAGTGTTACTGAGCACAGGCTAGGTTGCGCTGGTATCATGTGATCATAAAAATTCAGTAAAAGAGTAATCGAATCGAACCTGGCGACCAAAAACAACGAAAATACCAACAACTACTGACGAACACAAACTTTACGGCAAACTCGAGACAGCAGTAATTTGTGAGTGGCGAGAGACCAAACGTGCGCTTTCGCCCATTCCGACCAGATGCACGTGACATCAGTCACGAGACTGCCGACCAAACGATAGATCCAATCATTTGCTTGCGTGCGTCATGGAGAACACGGAGGTTTGTCCTTGTGTCTAGCTTTTGGTATCGTCAGTGTGGCAAATAATGATGATAAACAAGTCAGTATGCAAACGCTAAAAGACACGTGATGTAGAGCGGGTGAATGAACGAGCGCACCGGCGCGAGGAGATCGATAGAAATTGTGCCACTTAGGCGGAACTCTCACGAACGCGACACAGCACAGATTGACAAGATGCGAACGCAAGAACGAAGAACGTGAAAGGAAGCGTGATCAAGACAATAATTTGTAAAGCTTGATTTTCTGAAGCACAAACGTGAGTTGACATTGCGAAGGGAACAGACAACAACAGAATAGCCCTATGGATTTGGTGAAATAATAGATCTTGGTGACCAATTTCATTTAGGAGATGACGATCGGAGGTGTTGAGGGTATGACAATTAAGAACACCAATACCTACCCGATTCCATGCTGTAGTGTGTAACGTCCTCAATTCAGCTTCAGGATATTGTAGAGCGAAAGCTAATTCTGACTGGACAATGGATTCTAACGCCTTGCGCTCACGTCCAATCACACCGTAATCCGAAGCAGCTTGGGTTAGATCAGCTTTGGTGACAGGGATAGGAGTGGTGGAACTACGCACGCCAGTGATGAACGAATATGACTGTGTTCTGAAAAAATATGCATTGAAAGAGGAGTTTAAACGATTTTAGCGCCTACCACGACCTACCCCATCCTACACCAGGGTCTACTGAACCAAATGTGATGGCATTTAGAATTTGATGATTATCACAGGGGTTGATTTCATACTCCACAAGCCATGTAAATTGGCTGTTGTTTGTGTTGACCCTGTCGTTGGGCCCAAGCTAATTGAGTGCGAGCTCACGTCGAGGAAACACAAGTTTGTGTAGTAATTGGCTGACGAGCAACTGAGGAGCGGCAAAACACATGAGTGAATAGGCTAAGTGGAATAAACTGAAGGGTGGTACTCTGCGATTGGGCTATTTAGTGATGAATATGAGCTGAAATGACTGGACTGAAAGATTAGACCATTAAGGTGCTCCAGAAAGTGAGGTGAATTCCGCAAAAGTGGTTTTTGACTTAGTGCTTGCAATGATTGTTTGGGCAACAGCTTGATCTATCGTATCTCAGCGACTAACTGAAACCTCATATCTCAGTAGTTACCAGCCCAGGTCACGTGGGTTATTTATCGAACAGATTAGGCAGTCATCAGATCCTAAAGATAATGAAGTGGTCACGCACAAAAAAGGCTAGTGAAATCAAGGCCAGATGGTTTGAAAATTCACGTGGACAGAATAATAGCTGGTATATTAGATCGAAGTGGTGGGAACTGAATTTTGAATGCTATGAAAGCTACGCGTAGGTTTCATTGATAAACTTGAGTGTATGCCGGGTGCCAAATGACACAGACAGGGGCGCGAAACTAGAAAATCCATTCTACGAAAGCAGTGAAACAAACAGAGCCAAAGGCTTTCAAAAGATGTTATTATTTGACGATACAAACCCGAATATCATCGTAAGACTTGGCACCGTAGCTGCGATAACCCATGCTCACTTAGTTGTTCACTTTAGGTTGTCCGCCATTCCATCGTGCATAAGAAGAGACAGGCTTTCAAATGCAGTTAGGACTCACCTGGTCTCGTTCGATTTGTTGACGTTTTCTTCTTTGGCCATTGGGTCCCCTTGCAAATCCACGCTTTGATAGGACTTTACCTCATCCCACCTATCTACAGATGTTTCCGTATCACGAGCAAGCAAGGAGCTCGGCCACGTCCGTGCTTTAAATCGATTGGTTTGTGATCGTCAAACAAAGCTAGGGTAAACTTTACGAACACAGCTATACGAAGCTCCATGAAATGAGCCTGGTTGAGTCTGTAGCGTAACTAGGGTTGTACACCTCAATTTTGAGTCGAACTTCGCTCAAGTATGAAAGTTCTCCCTTTCCAAAGGAACCTGAGAGAATGTTCACCAATTCACATACAGATTATTCTACTTCCTCAACATTTCATGTTCGACCTATAAATAGATACTAAAATCAAAACGAACTCTGCACGTCTAACTCTGAAAAAAATAACATAGCAGTACCGACTTATTTGGCTCTTCGTTCAGTCCCGGTGAAACTACAAGGAAATCCTACTGCGATTACCGACGAGTGGCCAGGCATATATT